AAAGTCAGCATGATGTTATACTTGATCAAATCTTTGGGTCACACAGTAACACATTTTTAAACCACTCATAGGAATCCAAAAGTTGAATTTAATATTTCATTAAATCACAATGCAAATTGATTCCAGCATGTGTGGTTCTGTCTCTATAGCATCATACCTCTGATCTTCATAATATCGTCAATTTAAATCTATTTTTTGTTCATTCATTATTTCCACTTCAAGATCAGAATCACAGAAGTTCTCAGTTGAAATATTTAATAAACACCAGACAAAAAAAAAATCAAATGGTTGGAAAAAATTACTACAGCCTAACATGCTTTTTTCCCCATACGTAGTTTGTGATCTAATGTAACATGTTGATTTAGCAATGAACAATAATATACTTTCAAAAGCCAACTTTTCCATGGCAACCCCACCCGAGCACATCAGTATCTGAGCACTGCTCTGATCAGAGGACTCACCAGATCCTGGTCATTCCTATCCCTGTTCTGCTCTTTTCCACCTCCATTCCCCACATATGCTCCCCACCTCAATCAATCACACACAGCCACATATTCACCCCAACATTACCACGCTGCATTTGCATTCAGCCTCCACAATTCAGAATTCTTGTTCCACTATAGCACCACTCGCGCTCACAAAAAACTAGCCTTGGGCACATAAACATCAACCATGCAGCAGGGTGACTTTAAATTGGATCATTCATGTTTGCAAAAAACTTTTACAGGGGATCAGAACTCAATTCAATTCTGGTGGTTTTTGGAAAAACAACAAAAAAAAACAACACAAAGGAACCACTGAAAAACTTCCAAAGCGTAACAGATTTTTTTGCAATTATAAAACACCCAGCAACATCAAATTATTTCTTATAAGCAATGCATACTCTAATCACAGTCGCATACTAAGCAAAGCAGTGACTCAAACACAAAAATTGACTTTTGCCACCTATTTTGAAATTGGAGGACTGCCACTTGAAAAAACAACACAAGCAGGCATTTCTTAAGACTGAGACTATTAGTCAGAGAAGAAACATTAAGTGCTAGTTTGTTTTCTTGTCAAAGATAATCTTGAACCAACTTAAAATATTATGCTAACATAGGAGTGTTTATTTACCATACTGATATTTGTAACTTCAGATTGAGGTTGATATAGTTTTTTTCATATACAATCTTTCTCACTCAAAACACTAAGTGAATGTGACTCCATCTTGCCAACAGTACAAAGAGATGGTTCTTATCCATTGCTCTTAACATAATTATGAATGGGACAGGAAAGCAAACACGAGTTTATAAGGAATTGTGCACACAACCCAGTTTAAATTGCAAATCCATCAAACAGAGCTCACAGACAGCTCTGTTCCTCCAAGTCTGAGGCTTTTTATGGTGCTGGATGGGCAATGTCTCATCAATTCCACTCATCTCTTACACAGAGTGATAAATATTGCCCATTTCTTTCTAGAGCAGAACCTATCTTGATACAGTCTGCTTCCTTACTGTGTTAAAGAAAGTCAGTGCTGATCAGTTTCAATCAAAAACACCTGTTATGGGCACAGCTTTTATGCAAGTCTGCAAGTGTGTTCTTCAAACAGTACCAAATGAATATCCTAACACAGTACAGAGCCATAGTCTCACACTAGAGTACCAGTGGTAAATGTACTGTGAAGTCGAACAGTTAGGATTCATTTTAACATTCTATTCAGATATTCTTTCAGCTGAATTGTTAATACACTTTTTAAGCAAGTCATCACAGTGCTTTTAACATTATCCAGATGGAGGTCTGTCTCTGCATTTTTAATGACACAGTGGGTGTAATGACTCACAATGCAATGAGTGAAAATACAGAGTACTGACTCATGTCTCTTGAAAACATGTCTCAACTAGATGTTTTGGGACTAGGTAATTATGCATTGAATAGCATAGGATGACATTAAGAAGCAGTAGTGAAGTGTCTATTTGTCCATAAAGTTGGAGAATGGCACATCCACACATCAACCAGATATACAATCTGCTTCCTCAATACATGACCATGTGACTGGCAGTAAAATATGTCTTGAATTACTTTACCATAGGAAGACCCAAAGATTTCCTAAAGAGTCTCTGATATATCAGAAGCAGAATTTACCATAGTCATCACTGCTACAGAACAAGGTCTCAGATATCATTGTGATTTATGATTAGATTAGGGCACACTGTTTCTACATACTACAATGCCAAACTATAGCCCCATCACTACCAAGGCATCAGAACAAGGTTCAGCACTTCTAAGCTACGTAACAAGCAGCACAGTACTTGAAACGCACAGAAGCCATATTGGATTTGGCAGGATTTACCCTGGCAAGCATCCTGGAAGAAAGTGCTAAACCAGCCAGAGCTACAGGGAGGCTAACAGCAAGCCTGCCTGCATTAACAGGACCTTAGCAAGAAGATGATAGAAGTGATCATTACCCTCTACTTAGTGCTTACTGGACCTCATCTAGAAGACTGCATTCAGATTTGGGACTCCCTCCTCCCTCCAGTACAACAACATGGATTCCTGCAGAAAATTCATCAGGTAGCTACCAAGCTTGTTGGGGACTAGAACATTTCCTCTAAAGAGAGGCTGAATGATCTGAGCTTCTTCAGCCCACAGAAGAGACAGCTCAGAAGGACCTAATAGCAGGCTTCCCTCATCCAAAAGAAAGCAGAATGCTCTAAGTATTCCAGCCTCACCCTGCACATGTAAATCAGAACAGACTCAAACTCAGGAAGCCTTAGAAAAAAAAATATAGATAGATATAGATAGATAGATGGTTACTTTCAGTAGTAGCAGCTAGGTTTTCATTAGCAAGAAACCAGACCTGTGAAGTTTTCCTCTTCTGCCTGGATACAGAACTGACAACCAACTAGTCAAACACTTCAACAAGAAGCACTGCAAAGATCAAGTCTTTCCTAAATTCCAGTCAAATGAGCTGAAGCCTTCCAAGCAGGAAGTACGTGTATGTTTGAGATGCAAAAATCTTTGGGTCTTTTATAGTTATTTCCTAAACTGTGTGTGTGACTTACAGGGAAAAAAAAGCCCTCAGTGCAAATTATATCCATCAGCACTATTTCACTTATGTGAGTGTTTTCTTCATCCAACACATTACCAAAAACATACATATTTATCTTAATGCCAAACAAAACATTCACAGACACATTTTTTGCAATAGTTTCCCAGAGGATGATAAAACACTTAAAGCCAAACTGCTTATCAAAATCCTTCACAAAAAGCATGTATCATTCAAGCCAGAGAATTCTCAGGTGCTTTTTCTCTTAATAGTTGTATTAATAACTAGAGATGGCAGCTCCAAAGGTTATTTATCAGCTATGCTCAAACACAATAATCACATTTTAGTAGCTGTTCTGGGAATCCAAATCTCTAGACAACTTTTAAAATCTTACCCACAGAGTACCTTTAACATTCAATACAAGCATTTACAAACACAGCCAGAGATTACTTTCAGTAGGAGACAGCCCCACACTAATGCTTCTAAAGTGTTACAACTTAACCGACATGCTACATTTCATCTACCACCATTTTGCAAAGAGCTCCGTGAGCAGCTACAGCCCTGTCTTTAGAGTGATTCATTCTTTTAATTAAATGGCTCTGAAATTTTACTGCTATGAATGTCATCAAATGCAGCCTTTGTTTGAAAATAAGATCAACAAACACAGTAGTGAAAACAGAGCTAACTTTCCCAGCCTTAAGAAACACAGGAACTATGCTTGGATCATTTTTCTTCTTAAAGAAAGTTCTTTTTTTTTTTTTTAAGAAGTTCCACAAAACTGAGGTTTTCTTAGAGTGTAACTCCAAAAACACAGTCCTTCAGAAACAATATTTCTATGTTATAATTTTTTATTCAGATGAAAATATCAAAACAAATTAAGACAATAGGCACAAAAGTAAAACAATGTGTCAGTCTTCAGAAACTGTTAGACTGTGCTTAATGTACCTTTAACATTAAATACAGTATACCAGAAATTGATCCTTTTATATTAGGGGGAGGATTAAGTTTCTAATGTAGAGAGACTGTTGTTCTTAAGATCAGAGTATTTGCTGTACTTGGCAATTACTTACAAGTTCTTAATTTGTGTTTTAAAAGACATGTTTCTTTTTCCAGAGGCCAACAAGAACCAACAAAAATTTAGGGAGAAAAGTAGCTTAAACAGAAATATATGTATCAGCTCTTGACATAGAGAACCTCCCAGTAACTACAAAGAAGGTCAGCTCACCCATCACATCTGAATTTGTGTTAGGACTATAATCAGTGAATTACAGGTCCATAAATTCTACAGCTTTGGTAGCTTTCCCATTAGAAGATTCCACAAAAATGTTACAAGCATTTTAGACCAGATTTTACAGGTTCCGTTCTACCCTGTTTTGGATGTCATTCAAGGTCATATTTTTTTCTTAATGAATTCCAAGAATAACACTGTTTCTTGTTACCTAGCACTTTTTCAAAGCACACATAGGAGCTCTCACATCCAATCCTATTTTCCCCTTGAGACACAAGTATTTTCTTAGGTGATTCATGGCCATACACAGAAAGAGGATATGCATTTTAAAATGGTTTCCTAACATTTATCCACAATTTTCTGTTCTCACAGATTCCATATACTACACATAAGTAGAAAACTTCACACTTCCATTTTTTTTTTTTTTTACCATTGAAGGCCCAACTGCAAGATGAATACCTAATGAAAGTAATCATTCATATCCTCTGTTTATTCTAAGAACTTGCTAAGTTTGTTCTGCTTCTGTCCTGGCTTACATACAGGGGGCTAAGTGGGTATACTCAGAGCAACAGCCACCAAAAGCAGATAAAATTAGCACCAGTTAAAACACTTTTAGGACAAGTGATAGATAAGACACACAGAGTAGCTGCAGTAACCTATCCACCTTTCATTATCACTATTTCCATTCCCATTTAGACTTTCTAAACCTTGACAACTCTGGACTCTGAAAGCAATCAGCAAATTCACTTCATAAAATTTGGAGACTCCAAGAAGATACTCAGTTCTTCCGGTCAAGAGTTAAGGTGCAGAAATGTGTAAGTCCTGCAGATAACAGTGTAGCTGTACAGAAGTGCTCTAGGTTTCTCAATGGGATGATTTTCTGGGAAAAGAACAGAGGCCACCTTAGATGAGAAACATCTTCAAGCTAATTACACTGCATTTCAGCTTAGGTCACGCGCTTATGAAGGATATGAACTTAGTGTCTGTGGTTTATAGGCAGTAAAAAGCTTGACCCATGTACCAAACATTAATAAACTATCCAACATGAGGACAATGAAGCACTGTCATGCACTCTTCATAGAGATTGTGATCTCACCTTACTGGTGTCTGTGAGATCAGAAAAGTGCATGACCAGAGCAATTCTGGCCTCAAGCAAGACTGTGAGGCTCTCTCCAAACCTATCTTCTGACTGCATGAAAAGGAGACACACGTGTAACAGTTTACAAGATCAACAATTTAATTGAAATACATAGTAATTTGTACCTAGCAAAATTTGAAATAGTGAGATAACAGAGATCTGAAATGCAGAGCTCCACAGCTCAGCTCTGTTACACAGCAAGTACCACAAGTCAGTGCTTTTCCTATTAAGACATATAAATAGAATAGCTCATAGCTTTATCAGGATATTTCCTGCACAGCTTTCTCCCAAGACACAAGAGTGAAAACGTCCCTATTTGGGCCCACTGCAGCAGGTTTTAGCACACCAGCATTTATTAGTTTCCTCTTTCTCAAGCAGACAACACATTTTTGAAGACTATAAAGATACTGTCAATGACTTCAACCCCATTAGCAACCTGTGGCCTTGTACACTTTGTGGCTGAGTTGGAATACTGGAATACATATTTTATATTACTTTTCTTCAGGAATCAATAGTTTTCAAACTGTGTGCTTACCCTGCAAATATCATAAACAGCTTGAGCATGCACTTGCCTTTCAAACAACACATATAAATGAGCCACCAGAACACCAAAATGATGCTTTTTCAATAACCCATGGATTTCAGATAGCCAATCAAAATAGCTGAAGCAATTTTTTAGTTATACATGTGTATAATCAATGAAAATTATATAAAGGAATATTATAAAATTTAATAACATTAAGATGTTATAATAATGAAATAAGCAGGAGAGTTAGGCACAGCAAGACAAAGAGAATAAATAGGAGGCTTACCCGTGTCGTGGGCTCACTCAGGAAACTCCAGTGGAGCGGATCTTCCAAAGAGAGAGAGAGAGATCCTTCCCCACTGGTAGTCAGCTCTTAAATGGGTCTAGGAGAGGTAGAGCCAGGCTCCACCCCTTCCTGCAGCACAGGTGAATTGCTTTCACCTGTGCTCCCAGGGCTGACTCATTGCTCACCTCAGCTGACTAATCAGAGGTTCAGACCATGACTCAGCAGTTCCCATACAACATGCATGCACACAAATTATGGACATCTTTTCCTCTCAAACTTCTTTTTCTTCAGGAAGCTATGCTACATGACAGAACAAAATATACCAAAATGCATCCTAAAAACAAAGACTTCAAAATATCAGCACCATTCCCTAGAAGGAAAAAGTTACTGAAATCCATATGATTATCCACCAAAGTCAGAAATAAAATGTATGTAGGAATAGGCTACTTTAGCCTTGGTTACAGAGTCATTAAACTGGTTCTGTCAAGCAGCCGGTTTCCATTTTCTTAATTAAGGACAAGAATCATGTCTAAACACAGACAGAAATAAAAATTTAAATCTACCCCCTCATAATAAATTGCATCCAAAGCATTTATCCTCCATCGCTTTGCATGACTTGTTGTACCAGGTTGAACACCCTCGTTAGGTGTTTGTTTGGATATTTGACAACTTTAAGACATAAACCACTATAAAGAACCGAGTATTTTGGAAGAACTCTAGAGCAGGTTGCCAACCAGGGGAAACCAGGTGGAAAAAGCCCTTGTGGAGCAGGTGCAGGAGCTCCTTTGGGCAACAACTCCCAGCAGAGCAGAAGGCCGTTCTCGCAGGTGCAGGAACACAGACTAAGTGAGGGCACACCCGGCTGCAAACCTTCCTCCTGGATTTGATCAGTCTCATACTTGAGGGTCACGGCTTTCCGCAGCCCAAAAGGTGCGTTTCCTTCACCACTTCACCAGCAGTCTGAGGTGCAGCACTGACACAAGCAAAAAGGGGCAACAAAAAGCTCACAGCTGAGCCAGGGAAAACAAGGAAAAGTGGTACCAGGTGAAAGTTTGCTATCTGCATGTAAAGATGAAGTTTTGTAACTTTAATTAGTAGTATTTGACTCAGTGAGACATAACCTCGCGTACTTTTTGGCTCTCCCAAACACCTCACGCTCGAGGCTCAGCAGAGCCCCGCGCTGCCCCGAGCTCCTTCACACAGCCGTCCCGACGTCACAAGACGAAAAACCCACAGCTGCGGAATCGAAACGCCCAACCGCCCTCAGAGCGTTCGCACAGTGGGCAGGCCCGCAGGAAAGGCGCGCACCGCCCGCTCCAGCGCCCGGATCGCCCCGCCGCCGGGAACCGCTCCCACTGAGGCCGCCCCGAGGCGGGCCCGTGCAACGCCTCCGCCCCTCCCCCGGCTCCTTACCGAGGGGCGGCTACGGCAGCTCCGCGGGCCCAAAGGCTTCCCGCGCGTGGCCGCGGACAGCGGGGCTCGCCGTGCGCCTGTGAGCGCCGCGCTCCGATTGGCGGCTGGCGGGCGGGCCGCGCTGTAAGGCGGCTGGCGATTGGCGGCGGGGCGGCCGCTGCCCGGCTTTGTACACACGCCGCCCCGCTCGGCCCTTTAACAATGGGCGAGGCGGGCGGCGCCGCGTGATGGCAGGGGAGCCCTCGGCACGCCGCGCCGCGCTCAGGTGCCCCGCGCCAGGCCCCGCCGCGGCCGCCGCGTAGGGTGAGTGGGGGCGGGGGGAGCGCCGCCGGCCCTTTGTTGGGGCGCGATCGGGCCCCTCGCCCGGCGGCGGGGCTTAACGAGCCTCAGTTGTGCCCGCCGGCTCGCATGACGGCCAGCTGGGCCGGGGGGCCGCGGGGCCCCGCGGCGAGAGCGGCAGCTGATCGCGCTTAACTGCGGGCGAGCGGGGAAGGGGCGAGTGCGGCGCTGCCCGCCCCGTCCCGTCCCGCCCGCGCTCAGCCGGCGCCGCTTCCTCCCCTCCGCCCAGGCCCCGGCCGCGCCGCGCCGCCCCCCATGGAGCTGGAGGCGCAGTGGTGGACCGGACAGCTGGCGGCGGACATCCACCAGGCGCTGCGCTACAAGGTGGGGCCGCCGGGGGGGGCGTCGGGAGCGGGCGGTGCGGGGCCGGGGTGGAGCGGGGCGAGCGGCGTCGGTGCCGGCGTCGGCTGAGACCTCCTGGGCCGCGTCTCTGGAGCGGGAAACGCGGTGCCGTGTGCTCAGGCTGCCCTCGGTCTTGACAGCTGATCTGCCCCGCCGGGCTGTTCTCTGTCTGTCCGGTATAAAAGCAGGACTCCGCTCAGATGTGCGAACGGCTCCGAGCTCGAACTCGGGGAAGTGGTGATGCTGTTGCACCGCCAGCACAGCGTCGGAAGCGCTTAAGGGCTGTTCAGAATTGCTTCAGCTCTGACTCGGAGTTGCTTGCTGGGGATGATTTGGTGTGGTAAAGAGCATCTTGACTGGAAAACGAGTTGATAGTGTCTGAGCCTATTTCTGCACTTGGTGAGAGGATTATTGTTCTCAAAGCTGTGACTGCCGAAGTAACTTGTTGAGGGAGAGGAACGTGAGAAAAACAGGACAACGTGTGTGCAGTTACAGTTACTACAGCTAAGTCAGCATTGTGACATTCCAAAGTTTGGTAGGTATGAGTGGCTTTGGTCATGATGAATTTCTTTTTCCTGATTTTATAAAACGCTGCAGAACTTTGAATTGATGTTAAAACTTGGAAAACTGGGGGTGACTCAGTTCTAACTTGATGTCATCGGATTGTTCTGCTGGAAATCTACTTGTAGTCAAAATCCTACTTGGTCTGCAATGCACAGTGTAACTCATAAACGTATGCCTGACAGCAGACAACAGCTGAGCTGCTGTGCTGCACCAAGGGGATGTGCACAGGAGCCCAGGGATTCTACTTCTATCAGCCCAAATTTTGTATTTCAAACACAGTGCCAAAGGCTTTTCTGTAGTGTTGGTAGGGCTTTGGTGTTCTCCCCCTCTCCAAATCTCAGGCTGTGTGAGGTTTATGTGCATTTAACTCAATGTCTGAAAGCGTGCTGTGATCAGTGTCAGTGCAACATCAGTGAGATCAGATTAAGTCAGGGTTGGAAGTGCAGGAAGCGATGGCATTCCCCTGCTCCTTTCCCAGTTCCCCCCCTCAGGATAGCTGTCAGTGCCCCCCTCCCAAAGGCACCTGCAGGACAACCAGCAGCACTGGGACATGCCAATGCTTCAGTACAAAGTCTGGTTGCTCAGATCAAACTGCAGCAGGAGAGGGCTGAATTAAGCTATTGGACTTTGTGTTGAAGCATCTGAGCAGTCATTGCATACTGCTGGAGAAGCCTTTGCAGTAGAGAAGGTAAAATCAAGTCACTCTAGCTGATTGATGAAGATATGTTAAGCTTTACATTGTTATACTAAAGTTATGCAGAACCAAAATATTTCATAATTCTGTAATATCGCAAGTAATTTTTGCTCTGTGAAAAGAGATACTGAAGCTAGGAGAACAAAAAGAAGGGAAAAGAAATAGTTTGCAAGTTCCATAATAAATGAGAGAATACCAGCTACGTTGGTTTGATGCCAGTGTACACTAAATGGTGGTTTTAATAAAATTGCATGCTGCTGTCCATCTAGGAGCTGAAGCTGCCCTCCTACAAAGGCCAATCTCCCCAGTTACATCTGAGAAGATACTTTGCAGATCTGATTGCCATTGTGAGCAATCGGTTCAGACTCTGTCCTGCTGCACGACATCTAGCTGTGTATCTGCTGGACCTCTTTATGGATCGCTATGACATATCCATACAGCAGCTGCATGTGGTTGCTCTTTCCTGTTTACTTTTAGCAAGTAAGTATGTAGCACCATTGTTGAACGAGAGCAATACAGGTGGTACAGGTGCCAAGTACAGGGAGTAACATGGTGGGGATACAGGGGGCAGGGGAAACAAAGTGGTTATAAAAGACTGAGGGTTAGATTTGTGTACTTAAATTTGGCTCAGATGATAGAATCTTTCTTTAAACTTCTGTTTGGACCTCTGTTGGCACCTGATAAGACAAAGGGGAAAAAGTGAACTGCAAAAAAAACAGTGTTTGTGTTTGGAAATACGAATTATTCTAAGATGAATTTTTCAGAAGGAAGCTACAGGAATGGAAAGGCTGCCTTCTAAAGGACATGTCAAAATAGGTGGATCCAGTGCTGAAAACAATTAAGATACTTGTGATAAAGGAAGAAATGAAATAAACCATATGTAGACTGTTTTGCAGCCTGTTGATGGTGCTGCATGTGACTGGTGTACTTCAGATTTTGTAAATTGTGCTGTTCTTTGTGCAAGCCTAGGCTAAAGTAAAGCCTGTACTGTGTCACATAAAAAATGTAATGTAGATGAATACATTGGTGATTACACAGTACTCTGAAGATAGAATTAATTACAAACATTCATTAAGAACTGTGCTGCTGCTTATATTGCACTCAGCTAGAATCCTGTGGTGTGTGTACCCATCTTTATACATTTCTGGAGCCTTTTTACAAGTCCCCAATAATCCATGAATGTAGTTTGCAGCATGCTTGCTGGCAACTGTTCTTAAACCAAGCACCCAAGCTTTGTGCTGGTAGCAGAGCTGACTGCTGGTTCAGCTTCTGCTAACCCATTTCTCTGAATCTATTTTCATTTTCTCAAATAAGATATGTCATATTGTAGGCCCTCTCCACTAGTTAACACCTCAGTGCTCTGGTTTTCTGGTTTTGGTATACTGCTTCCTTTCAGTGCACTCTGTCTTCAGCAGTACAGCTATTCAACAGAACAGTTAAAAGACAAAAGGAGTTGTTTTGGAATTCTTCTGGGGGTAAATTTTGACTGGATGCCACCAGCCACTTTGGCAAAGGATGGGGTTCTGAGTATTAAAAACCTGGCCTCAGAAACCAGTATAATCCATTTAAGAAAGTGGATAGTCTTTGAACTAATGCCAGATCTTCAAATTAAATTCATGTTCTGAAGAGGATTATTATTTTTTTTTCTTAATCTTTTACTATCCTTTTACTATCCTTTGTAACAAACTGCAAGTAGTGGTTATGAGAGCCTGAAGTACACATTCTTCTGAGAAACGCTGTGTGACTTAGTACAGAAAACACAAACCAAAATGCTGCTTTGAACTTCTGTCCTGTGTGGCTCGAACAAGTAGTTCAAACAGTACAGTAAGCTAGACAAATCACACTGGTATGCCTGATAAAGTGTAGAAATAATAAGAGAAATGATTATGTGAGTCCTGAAAAGCTTCCATTTCTGTAATTAGTTGAGTGTGGAAAACAAAAACGAACAGGCTGGGGCTGGCATGGCCTTAACTCCTGTGTAAATACCTCTCACTGTTGATGGGGGGGGGAAGCAAACGATTGGTATGTTCAGTCCTGCAAAAGTCTCTAAAAATGTGCTTTTACAACATATCTGTAGTACTGAATAGTGGGTGTAAGATGGAAAGAATTTGCAATGAAATTTAAATAGCACAACCATATGGCAAACTGTATGGAAATGTGACACTTGTTTCCCTTATTAATGGGTTTTCTACATATACAATTCTGCTTTAGGCTAAAAGCATACAGGCCTGACAAGTTAAAGTCCAGGGAAAGTTGAAGCTACCAGCAGTGTTAAGTTGAAACAGTGTATATGGCAATGTGGTTTTTCAGATGTATGTTGCTGAAATCCACTTCTTTGAAATGCTGGAGCAGCGTATCTGCTATCAAATCTAAAAATGCACCTAGCATAACAGGTAATAACAGAGCAGATAAATTGACTAGAGAGGTAGCTGTACTCTAATGATTTCTAAAACCAAACAGGGTTTGTGGGGAAGGGAGAGCGATTAAAGTCAAATGCAGGGTTGTTATGTATGTCAGGTCACATGGCAGTGGCATTTCACAATATTATTTCATAATACTATAGTTTGGTGACAAAAACTTAATACAAGTAATGCCATGGATGTCATAACATAGCTTACTTCTGCACTTGGCAAACAGTAACTGGTTCATGGGCAGATGAATCAACAGGAAATATGGCACTGTATGATATCCAGCATGATGACATTATCTGCTGAAACTTAGCCCTTTATAGTACATGCCCCTTTATGTCTCCAAATAAGTCTTCCATTTGAGTTTTGCATCTGTGGAAAAGTCTAAAGCTTGTTTGATGTACTAGAATTGAAATATGACCAAAAACAGTCACTAGATGCAATCTGTTTTGTAGTTCACACATGCTGAACCCTTTTTTTTCCCTCTTTCTGTTCATCTGAAGGTAAATTTGAAGAAAAGGAAGACAGTGTTCCCAAACTTGAACAACTGAACAGCTTGGGATGTATGACTAATATGAATTTGGTACTAACAAAACAGAATTTGCTTCATATGGAGTTACTATTGCTAGAAACATTTCAGTGGAATTTGTGCCTCCCAACTGCTGCTCATTTCATCGACTATTATCTTTCTATTGCTGTCCATGAAACTGATCTTCATGATGGCTGGCCAATGGTTTGCTTGGAGAAGACTAAGTTATATATGGCAAAATATGCTGATTACTTTCTTGAAGTATCGCTACAAGGTGAGTTATGTATTTTGGGTAATTACTTCTTTGTTGTCTTGGCAGATTATGTCCAACTTAAATGAATCTTTTTTTATGTTTCCTTCATTCTAGATCATGCATTCTTAAATTATGCCCCTTCTTTAGTTGCCACTGCATGTGTAGCTTCTTCAAGGATTATCTTACGCCTCTCACCAACATGGCCTACTCGACTGCATCATCTTACTGCATACTCCTGGGATTTTCTAGTGCCATGTATTGAACGCCTATTAATGTAAGTTAATAGCTGCTTTTTTCTGGCTGGTGTACCAAACTGTTGGTATGCCTAATTGCTTCTAACATTGTGTTGGTTTTTTTAAATATCTGTTTATGCTTACGTATGCTTATGCATTAAGTAATATTATTAGGTATAACATGCTCAGAGAGTCTGTTAAGTAGCTTGTTCCCAATCTCTGTAGTCCATTAACAGGCATAAAAGAGTATGGGAGGCTCAGGAGCTCATGCTTGCTCTGAGGACTGTGCCTCGGAAGTTCAAAGGAGGCTCCAGGCAGATTGTGGATCAAACATGGAGATTATTTGACAAGCCAATATACTGAGAGAAAAAAACAGCTGGGTGGTTGCATCCAGTTTTGTGTTACCATGTAGCAGTGCAAATGACATCAGATAAAACACCAGCAAATGCCAACTGAACATTGCTGGGAAAGGGTATCAAATCAGTTCTTATATTCCAAAGCTCAAGATCTAAACCTATGCCCACAGTTTAATTGCTATCCTCCTATAGAGGTTTGCTCTTGCCCCTATATAAATACCGTTATGCACTGTGAAAGTACAGAAAATTCTGGATCTGGAAGAATCAAAACTTCTTAATAAGGTTGACATTATCACCTTTGACCTCTATCTTTTTCAGTGACAAATGTAATGAAACAAATGGTACCTAGAGCACACAAATGTGTTGCATTTTCAGTATCACTCTGGAATGCTTTGATATGGAAGGACAGGGGAAGCTTACAGTCTTTTTTGTAGTGCACCATAAAAAGCTTGCAGTCTCTTAAATTAAGACTGTTGATGGGCTGAACCATACCAAGCTCAAGAGATCAGCCCTGTACATACAGAACCAAAACCTTATCTGATTTTAGGTCTGATAGAAGTGCGCAGCTGGCACCTGCTTGCTTAACCTCAGCATAAAAGCATGTGAAAGAATAAGTCTAAATGCATTTAAGGAAGGTATAAATCAAAGGAAACTCAGGTGAACTAAACTGTTTAAGTACAGAGCAGGCTGGAATATCGTGTTTTTTAAAGAAAAATTTCTACTCTGTTACTGAATTTAAATGAGGCAGAAACAACAAGTATAATTTCAGTGATCTGGCACTCAGCTGCAGTATACTAGCAGACCTTCTTGCACTGAGACTATTTTAGATACTGCTGTATTGCGTATTGCACTAAAACTTGGTTTAGAATTGCTAGGAAAATAAGTGAAATCCTGAAAAGAAATAAACTTTAAAGTGCAGACTAAAAAAAAAAAAAATTTTTTTTCTTTTAGGCTTTGGATCCTTTCTGGTAACCACAGCATTTGTTACTGCTCTTAAGTTAATCCAAGAGTTCAAATGACTTTTATATCTATTTTAATGTATTCTGTCTTCTCCGTTTGTTTTAGTGCACACGATAATGATGTGAAGGAAGCAAACAAGCAAAAAGGACAACATGCTCAGTCTGCTCAACATACTGTATTTCAGACCCCAGGTCCGACTGCCCAGCAGGCTAATGTTCAATCACACATACCACAGTATCTCCAAGCTCATCAGTCTTCATTACAGTATCATCATCAGACATCACAACAGCAAAACTGTCAACAGATAGTATCAGCTAATCACGCAGCATCTTATCCACTTCAGACTTGCCCTGCTGCCTTACAGTCTAGTGTCCAGGCTCGATCCCATGTACAGACTGGTGCTGCTATGTCATTAGCTGTTCCTCTAGAAGTGAAGCCATGTATAAGTGTCTCCTACAACCGGAGTTACCAAGTGAATGGACGATATTCCTGTGTTACTCCCTGCTTTGAGAGGTGATAAGTACAAAACTGATCTTGTGCTTGTTTATGGGGGGCAGGAAGTTGCATTGAGGGGGAATTATTTTGCTTTTGTTTAACCTCAAATATGTTTGAGGGCAGGAAGTTGTATTAAAAAAAAAAAAAGTGTCTTTCCAGGAGAAAAAAAAAAAAGCAACTGGATTGGCAATTGTACTGTAGCTCAAGTACAGACTGCTAAAACTAAGCACGCGGAACATCTGAAAGAATGTGTATACCTGGGCATAGTAACTTCTTACTCAGGCACTCAGAATAGTCTGTGCTTCTAATGCACATACTTGAAATATTAGCCAAAAGAAAAATGGCTGTGGACTAACTACAGAATTACTGTTTAATGAAGGAGATACGCAGTATTATTTTTGAAGACATTTATGTAATACACCATACAGTATTAACGTTTACTTTAAATTTACTGAAACTTAAGAATCCACTGAATGCCAGACTTTTCCAAATAGGGACCAGAGGAAGAAACAAATTTCATTTTGATAACTCCATGCTCTTGCTTTTGTGTTGGATATTTGCTTTAGATATTTGCATTTGAGTTAACTGGTATTGTGGCTAGTTTTTAAGTTTTGTACCTCACAGAATAGATACTATGTTTTTCCTTCTTTTTTACTTCCTTGTCCTTTTTGTTTAAAGTAACTCTTTCATACTAACTCAGGGAATTTTCTACTCATTACTTTGCGCTGCTGGTTTGTTCGCTTAATTGGGTATAACCTGAGGGAGAAAGGGAAGAGATTATAGCAAACAGAGTGGCTTTTCTTCAGGGCATCTACATACCAAGTACCAAAGGGATGCATTAGTGTTCACAGAATGTAGATGTGAACTACTGTCCAGCAGTGAGGTATTAATGATTGAAGAAAAGAGAAAGTTTCATCCGAAGCTTGTGCTGTGCCAGAATTGTTGCAGTGGCTGTGATTCCTCCATGTACATGCACACACAACAACCAAGTATCCTCCAATTGTACTGGCAGTATCAGTTGTACAAAAAAAAAAAAAGCAGACAAATAGAAATCCAATCTGTGTCAGGCTTACAGTGGAGGGAAATTCTCAGGTAATAGTGAGGCAAATTTATATTCTGTTTGGGAATTCCAGAAGAAAATGCAGAGATCTACTCTTCTAAATGGGTGGGTCAAAATATGTTGCAGAGTGAACTGCTTTATCACAATTAAGATGTTGATCACATAACTTTATGAAATTACACTATCTCCTGTGGAGCAGGTTGTCTGAGAGTAGAAAGCTTCACTTGTCCAACTCTTGGATGAAAATGGTAATAAAGATAGTAGGGAAAAACTTCTTAAAAAAAATAAAAAATACCAGCCTCTCCTGTTGTAGAATATGGGAGGAAATTTGGATGACAGGATTCTTAATACTTTAAAATATCTGTATAGGTTGTAAACTTAAGGCTTTTTTTTTGTTTTCTTACCATCTCCATCTTCTGCTCATCTTAGTAGCAACGCTTACAGAGCATGTACCATTCCATTGGGGATCTCACAAAGACCACTTTGAAAATAGGGGCAATTAAGATATGTTACCAATATTATGGTGAGTACTTTGTCACTGGAGAGAGGGCCTTACCATTATGTTCAGAATGGAGAGGATACAAATACATTTATTCTCTCTGGAGTTGAATGATAACATGCTACAAAAATCTATTTATTGATGAGGAGAATAAATCCTGTTCCTTTTGTTCTGTTTTGTGTATAAATCCCAATTTTTGTTGTGGGCTTTTGTAGCATAAAAGTATAAGTCAAGAGGGGATTAGGAGGATAACAAAAGTTTATTCTTGAGAATCAGCTTTGAAATAGGCATAGGGTGGTCAATTCTTACTTCCTTTAAGCGTAAAATCTTTTTCCTCACCTCTCCATCTATTAATGAATATTTCCCCTTGTCTGAAGGTAGCATTAAGTTGAGATTTTCCACCTCATAAGATGCCATGCTTTTTATTCAGCATTGTTACCCATGTAAGAAGGAAATGGACTTCCTTCTACCAGTTTCATCTTGTTGCAATGCTATATCCAAGTCCTCAGTGCTCTTAACTACCTCTGATACTATGAATGTACAGTCTTATAATAGACCATGACTTGAAGTAACAGCAGATGCCTGTAGCAAACTTTTCTGGAAAATCTCATCAGCTAACTCATCATCTTTAGTTGTGATGCAGCAGTGTAGGCTTTTCTTTTTTTTGGAGTATTAGTAAAGTTATCCCATAGGCATTTGATATATAAAAAATTAACTAATACTTAACACTGGAATTATAATGGGTGGGGGGATTATTCAGTTAGTTAATACAACAAACTTACATTTAATAGGGTATTTTTATTTGACAATTTTTAAGACATTAGGTCAACTGTAAAGAAATCCACTACTTGCTGTTTGTTTTTAATTTATTGCTTAGTCTAAATTTTTTTTCTGACACTACAGCTTCATAGTGACTGCAGAGAAAATGTATACTGAACAGTTTTGATGTATTATTTAAAAGGGCTTTACCAGTGTACATTAAAGATACACTGTTCTTACTACTAGAACCAAAATGTTTTCTATAGCATAAATAAGAATGGTGCTCCTAAATGCAAAATGTCCAAAACAATGGAATCTTTGTGAGTGCTATGCATTCAATTTATTTTTAAAAATAAAACTAGTTTTGAATAAGAAAGTCCCACTATGCTTTGTTTTATTTTTTTAATATTTAAAATGGCCCTAATAAGTCTTCTATCACCATTGTATATGAGCTGGAGCTATATGGACTTTTTCTCCACTTCACCACCCCTCGCTTCTATGACACTATAAGCAGCTTTGGGAACACTGACACAACCAAAAAAAAAAAACAACACAGCAAACTGGGGGGAGGGGGTTCGAGCCGGAAGGAAATCATGCAGGAAGGGGCTTTAGAACTAACTGTACCCACAGCATATGTTCAACATTGTACACTTCAACCTTGTGTCCAGTGCACAGTTGTAACAAAGAAATTGAGAACAAAAGAAGTGTTGCAGGAAGAAAGACACGAATTCATTCTGCTCTCATTCAAAAAAAAAAGTGATACATGCAATCCTTTCAATACTCAAACTCAAATTAGAAGAACACTTAGCTTTTGGCAAAAGGCTATTGCCACAAGCTTTTAGATTATTTATAATAGCTGTGAGGGCAGAAGGTAATAGTTTTTAGTTACTAATTAATTTGCTAATAATGTATACATTTCACAATTGAAACAAGATATAGAGCTCCAAACATTATGTGGGCTGCTCAGAGTATCATTCCCATAACGCTAGAAAATGAAAATCTGGGGTCTCCATTAGCTTGCATCCATTGCTTCAGGGATAAAATCTAACTGTGGAAAATCTTCTGGAAGCTACAGAGTGAAAGCAAGCTCTGTTCTGTTCCACCAAGGAATAGGGACAATACAATACATCAGTATAGTGACAGCATGCATGAGTTACTGATACTTTCCTCTGGAAAGTTTTGTCTTCATCCTTAAGATGGCAAACATTCTTTCTAGACTTTCTCCATGAAATCCCGCAGTTGGTTGTTCTTGATTTTTTTTTTTTAATTGTAATTACAAAACAGTAATTACCCCCTGACCTTTATGAATCTCTAACTACAAGGACTGAGAGCTACAATTTAGTTCGGTATTCCAGCAGAATTTAAAAGACTTTAAAGTGTGAAGACTTGTTTTTGTACATAACACACCAAGCTTCATCTGTTTCCCATGATCTGGGCTTACTACCTATATCAAGTAGTCCTAATTTCTGCCTGAAATTCATTTCATTTAGAAGCTGAAATTTAAAGTCCATATTTGCAGACTGGCATGTAATTAGAAATAAAAGATTTTTCAAGTAATATGGCATGCTTCCTTAATAACTTATCAGTGGTACATTCCAAATGTTCACAGGAACATCATCGGCCTTATCTGACTGAACACTAGTGCCCAGTTAGTAGTCTTACTTTATTTCAGTAGTGTCAGCAGCAAATTCTTAAAACACCAAGTGGCAATAACAACATGCAGTGCTATTTCCAGTCTCCATTATAATGATATTTTAGAAATTAGAGCACATGCACATACACTTGGCTAGTTACAAATTTTGAAGTTTCCCTATAATTAAATATTATATAAGTTTATATAATTTGAATTAAAAAAAAAAAAAAAATCAGCTGATAACTGAATGACTAGAAGTATCTATATAGAAAGTAACTCCAAGTTATAAGAATTCTTAGTGCAGCCAAGGATGCAGGCTTCTGCCCCCAGACTTCTCCCAAGGGGAAGGGGAAAACTTACAGGTACTAAAACTGCAAACTTGAGATTCAGTATGCTTATTCACTGTAATGTTCACATTCACCAGCAAGTTATTTGCATCATTACTATACATATTAGCTGATGCATGTGCACTCAAACTGTCCAGAAATGCAACTTGCTATTCTTGGAACATGTGAGCTTACTCTCCTGAAACAATAAGATACAAGAACACTTTCATAGAACGTTGTTAAAGTTCTCATGAAAGAAAGGGTGCATTTTCCATAATCTACGAATCATTTAAATGACAACTCTAAACAGTGACTACATGTCCGTAGGAATCTTTTCACGCTAATTGATCATTGCTTACAAGATGACTAAGAGCCAATTGAATGCCAACTTAGTGTACAATCATAGCAAAGCAAAGGTTGGGAGGGACTTCAGATACCATCTGGACCAGCCATACACAGCAAGAGCCAGGCCTAGACAAAACTGCCTAACATCTTGTCGAGACAAACATAAGTTTCAGGTGTTGAAGAAGCATTGGAAAACGTACCTACATGAAATTTAACAACATTTAACAGTGGTTTATTTTTGTAGTACTGAAATTATGCATTACACGTTGGTAAGATGTTAATTAGAAATATGTTAATGAGAAATTTGTAGGCTTCTTTGTTTTTAAACAGTGACTACAGCAGTTTTTAGCTAAATGTAGCAGTATGTTTAAATGCACAGATCTTACAGGAGGGTAAATGGCATTCCAGATGGCTTCTTCACAGACCTCAGGAGACAGAATTTCTTCAGAAATGCCACCGAAACAATTTTCAGAGAAAGTGCTGATATCACAGAGAGTGGCTTCCCACATCTGGTATTGCATCTTATCCTATCTTAGTGCACACTCATCGTGGAGCAGTAAGGACAATTATCCACAAGGACTTGGCTATTCCATACTCTTCTAGCAAAGGTTATGAATACTAAGACAACTATCTTCATCAACAGACGAAGGAGTGGGCATGGAGCCATGCATCCAAAAGAGCATTCAATGATAGATGTGGAAGTAGGATAAGATCCTGCTGAGAAACAGTCTCTCTACTAGGAAAAAAGTCTTTATCAGGCTTCTTTACCTGACTACAGATTACAGCTCTGAGGAGAAACTCCCTCATCATTGAGATCACTGTAAATTTTTTTTGAGAATCTCTTGTGAAGCCTCCCGAGACTCGGAAGAACTTGTTGGTAAGAAGGTAACAAGTAAGTAGCACTACAGACCACAAAGGCTAAAGATACATCGAGAATTTTTTCCACTTCCTGGATTAACTCAACTGCAAGAGTGCAGAAGCAACTCTCAAAGCAGTTCCATTACCATCTTCTTTATTTCTCTGCTTATATATTCCTCATCACATTACATGAGGGTTGTAGGGGTTTTGTTTCCTGTTAAATAAATTTTAAAAAAAGCTATTTTATCTTCCCGTTGATTCATTTCAATTTTACATCCTCCCTATTGACCAAGCAGTCAGCATTCTGGAGAGGACAAGAACACTGAACTGCTTGTTCAGTGTATTTTCAACTTCATTATGAGATTACAAAAGAAATATTCGGCATTTTCCAGAGTTGGTATAATAGCACTTTTTTCCTCTAAAACAACAGAAAATATGTACTGGCAATGATATAGACTTCCAGTGCAAAAAAAACTAAAAAGGCTTGTTAGTTTTCTTACATATATGCAGTAAGACTACAGCACATCTAGAATTAAAGCAGCACTTCATTTTGCAAT